GTCCCCCCACCACTCCCAGCATATTGTGCTCCTGTCTTTACTTCAGTCAGCAAGCAGTCTACTGTTCTAAAAGTTGTGTTTGGTTCTTTGAAAATCCCTGCTATGAAGAGGAGCGTGTCCTTCCTCAGTACCCTGTCAACCTTCTTTTGCAAGTTGATATTAAATGACCTGCCTAGAAAATAGGTTCTATAACATAAGAAAATGGTATTTTTGAATCAATTCCTAGGTGTGTTGTTTGGACTGGTGATGAGCGAGTCTTCTTTTATAATCCCACCACTCGGCTTTCTATGTGGGACCGGCCCGATGATCTGATTGGAAGGGCGGATGTTGACAAAATTATTCAGGAGCCCCCTCATAAAAAAGGATTGGAAGACATGAAGAAACTAAGTAAGTTGTAGATGAGGAATTTATCCTCTTGTTTTAAACAGTTCTCTAATATTTTGATAGTGTCAAAGCCATTTAAGAACTTTTAACTCTTAAAAATAGACTTCTATTCTGGTTTGAGTGAGGTCATTTAGATATAAAAAATATAAAGCGTTTGGACCGGATTGTGTTTTGTCTACAACATACTGTCTTTGCCAAGATTTTTAGTTAAAGATAGCTATATTGGAAATATGGCTGAAATGGTCTTCAGGAAGCCTTGTAGCACCTTTTGGGACCAGTGGTAGAGTTTTTGCAATAATCAAAACTGTACATAATATTTTTCATTATTTTGTCTATTCATTTAATAAAATACAAAATGCAAAATTTTGTAAAAATGTTTAGTCTTTTGGAATAGGTAAGCCTTATTCCTGAGAATATAGTGACATTAAATCTTAAGGCATTGCTTCTAAATGTACATTATATTCAGACAGCTTTTCAGTGTGTTGAGTGCAAATATTTGTACATAATTTTTGTTGTGTAGTTATTGGTAATTGGCCTTGTATTGATATGACTGTGGTTTTATAGAAACCCAACCTCTGTGTAGTATAGAAGCATGGTTAGAAAATAATTTAGTACTTCTAATGAAACAGATCTTAATATTTATAGTGATTAAGAAATTTTCATGGATTGTATATCTGTGGTACTGACATTTTCTGCTTATAAGTAATATCCAAATCAGTGCAGCTTTAGTACTTATCTGGTACTGAAGGTCATAAGAACCTGTTTTTTTACCCTTCAGCAATATTTGTTTTATAGTTAGGAAAGTAATACTTTATAATCGTAGTATTGAATGAGGCCATGAAGGTATGTGATTTGCTTTTGTTTTTTGAGTCTGTTTTCAAATATCTGATTTATTTGATAAATAGATTAACAGGCATCATAGCCACCATAAATCCTGAAATCAGGAAGGTTTTATTTTATATTTATAAAGTTAAGGCGTGGGTAAGAAACATTTCAAAATGAATTAAAAATTTAATGTAAAGGGAGAATAAGAAATACAGAATTATTATACTTTGTTTAATGTCTTTTTTTTTTTTTTTTTTTTGGTTTCTCTCCGGTACCGGGAACCGAACTCATGACCTTGCGCTTGCCAGGCAGGCGCTTTGCTGCTGAGCTAAATCCCCAGCCCCCTGTTTAATGTCTTATAAAATAAATATAAAAGTAAATATTAAGAGGTAGATATTTTATGTGAACAGTAATTTTTTTTTTTAAAGAGTTGTGAAATACATGCATGTAACTGTTCATAATAATATTTGAAATGTTTTTGCCAGGACACCCGACCCCAACCATGCTGTCCATCCAAAAGTGGCAATTGTCTATGAGTGCAAGTGAGTGAAATAACTATAAATTGCAACTTCTTTTTAATGGTGTTAAAGCAAGTTTTCTGGTAGGGATCAGCAAAAAGATTCTTGTTTGCATAATTCAGTAGCTGCTTGCTTATTTTCAGACAAAGTTTTAATCAAATTTTGTCTTACAGTTAAAGATGAGCAAGAGTTAATGGAAGAACTTAATGAAGATGAGCCCATTAAAGCAAAAAAACGGAAGTAAGTAATACATATAGTTTATGCAATTCCAGGTAGATTTACCTTTTAAAGTTGATGAGGTCTTCAGCTTGTGGTCAGAAGGGACAGGTAAAGTACATGATTTAGGAGATGGAAGTCATGAATTGCTCTCTTAGGCAATATATTAAATAGCTTTTTTTTTACAATATCGATATGGTGTCTCTTCTGTTGCTAGACTTAGAGAAGATTGGATTGCTTAAATATGTGTAGTGATTATTGTGAAGCCGATGTCATTTTAGTAAGTTAACTCTAGAAAATTACTAAGTCTAAATTTTATTTAAAAAATTTTTTCTTAATATTGACCCCCCCGAAAACACCACTTCAGAGATCTCAGAAAGTCACAGAGATTTGTCTTTATATATTGGTCTTGCGACAGCCTCATTATCAGTCTCATCACTGCTATCTGGTGAGGAATGGAAGCACGAGCTTAGAAAGTGCTTTGAGACAGAGAGACTGTTTGGAGCAGCAGAAGCATTAGTGTGGCCAGTACTATAAAGTTGAATTGGACAAAATGTGAATGTTACATATTGTCGGGGGTGGAAGATTGGAGTGGGAGGGGGTGGGGGGGATGGGACCATTATTTAGCAGCAGAAAGGAAAGTTTGGAGACGTTATTAGGGAGTGCTTAATCATAGTTCTTCTAATCAGAGGACAGATTGAATGCAGCCAAAGTATGGTGAGGATATAAGTATGATAACCCCTATCAAGGGTGGTTCTTTTTAAGAATTTTTATTGGCATCAGTAAATTAATATACTATAGAGAATGACTCATAATCTATCACCTTGACACAGCTGTTCTCATTTTTACAATTGACATTTTAGTTCTTGACCAAGTATATTTTATTAGTTGTGATAAAACAATTTTGTGTTCTTTTAAAATTTTAGAATGAAACATTTGTTTTCTTAATTATTATAAATGACTGTATTCATTCTGTTTATTTACCATAATTTTGGATGTTTCTATGATGATAAACTTTTAGGTTGTTTTTAATTGTTTGTTCTTATAGACAACTCTGTAAGGTTTTTAACTGCTTTTATCAGGAGAATGTCAAAGAAGTCCTTTATGTGGATTGCCCGAGCTTCTCTATTTAGGTACAAAGCTAAAAGCCTATTTTTCCTGGCTTAGTTTTCCTTTTATTTCTTTTATTGAGATAGATAGTGATAGTTTGTATTGTGACATTTTCATTTAGTGTATAATTCTGTAAAGGTTATTTGTTTTTGTTTTTATATTTCTTGGATATCTTTTAACTCTTTATTTAAATAGTTCTTAAATAAATTATTTAAAGAGGGTATATTGTTTGGCAAATTGCTTTTACCTGTTTGTTTTGTGCATATCTTAGGTCACAGACTATCTCGTAAGTTCCTGCAGGTCACCGACTGTTTCTTCTATTTCTTTTGACTCAGTATTACCTCTCGTATTGATGGGTTAGCCTTGGTTCTGTTTAAATCTCCTGGGCTACCTGTAGTTCCCTATATTGGATTTCCAGTACATTTGTGTAGGGAATATAATACTCTTTTATTAATACTGTGCATTTAGTAGATCATATTTAAGGAAGATCTGTTCAGATATACCTGAGTATCACTGAATTACTTTTTGGGATTATTTACATGAATCATAGGCCTTTTTCATAATCATATGTTTTGAGAGGTGACTTGATTTCATATTTGCAATGTCACTTGAGTACCACACAAGCAGTGGGCCTGTCTTAGCTTTAAGTACATTTTTGGAGGAACAAGAAGTAGTTTAGTCATTGAACAGTTCTAACTCCTACTCCTACTACTACCTAACTACTCCTGGGCCCATGTTGCTCTCTGGGACCTGTCCTTCAACTTAAATCTCAACTTACCACCACCCACAGAGTGAGTAATAAAGATGTCAGGTAGGTAAGGTGTATATCTCACATGTCCACTTGGCCAAGTCTGCAGATGCTTTAATTTTATTTTCAAAGCAAATGTGGGAGATTACTAAGACTTAGTAACATACCAACTTTTATTAGATTTAAAAATATTTTATGAAATCATGAAACATTTTGGAAAATGTCATTTTTTTCCTATACTATTTTACGGGCTAAATTATATTTTGTGCTGTTTAGTTCTAATATGTAGTTATCACAAGCAGTGCTAGATAAGCTTTTCAGTTTTTTTGTAAAATCATTCACTTCATGTATCAACTAGTGCTAGCAAGAGAGCATATTGAAGGTATATTTATTTTTTCTTAATATAGTATAATATCATTAGAAACTTACTGTAATTTTATTAGAATGAAAGCTGTTTATCGCTTAGAGTTCATTTGAAACCCTCAGTATAATTTTTTTTTGCCAAAGATATGCTACTCAGTAGTGAGTCTTGAAAATTCCTTAGATTTTAAGATTTTAGTAAGATTCGTTGTTAATATTTTGTCAGCTGATGCCTTATATTTTATTTTTTATAGGAGAGATGATAATAAAGACATTGATTCAGAGAAAGAAGCTGCCATGGAAGCTGAAATTAAAGCTGCCCGAGAAAGGGCCATTGTCCCTCTGGAGGCCCGAATGAAGCAGTTCAAGGACATGCTGCTAGAGAGAGGGGTCAGAAAACAATCTTTGGGGGAGATATTTCTGTTTTGTATAAGTAATATAAATATGTCTTGCTAAAAGGTCAAATCTAAGGTTAGTGCTCATGTTGTGGGGGGGGTAAGGGAACCCTATCAAATTACTGTACATTTTTTTGAAACAGCCTTTTCCTTGGCTAATCATATCATACTTAACTAAACGCCATTTTACTATCCTTTTAAGTACAAATAACGTTTAACATTTGTTGGGTCATGTAATTTTGGTAAGTAAAATATATATATATAAGTGTTAACATTACAGAATGGCGGACTACTTCGGATAGGTAAGGTATATACAATTCCTTTAATATCTTGAATGACTTTTGATTAAAGGAGAACTTATACTTTATTATTTAGAAGCTATTAAGGAAGAATTTTGACCTTTGGGTTGTATTCACACATTTATTTGAATAAGTAAAATTGTTCAATTTTAAATTACAGCATTGTTCACAAAAGTAGAGCTAGTATGGGAAATCAAAATGCAAATCTTCAAGGCTTTTTCTGATGTAGTGATTTTTTAAATGTCACCCAGTAGTGGTTATTTTAATGAGTAATTAAGTGTGTGTTATTCCTATATAATATAGAAATGTTCAGAGCCAATTAGTATGGAAATTTTCTATTGCTAGTCTCCCACTGTTTGTCATTTATTAGTGATGGAACTTCAGTACGGTTTTTATGTCTCCTTTACAAACAGATGTCCTGTAGATTTCAAGCAAAATTGTGACCTTTATGATTTTAGACCAAACTTAATTATGAGGCAATACTTTTTTTATTTTAAAGGTGTCTGCTTTTTCAACATGGGAGAAGGAGTTACACAAGATAGTTTTTGATCCTCGGTACTTACTTCTTAACCCTAAAGAAAGAAAACAGGTAAAAGGAAAAATAACATGAGAAATATAAGATGTGTATTCGTTGACTGCATGGGTTTTAGGGAATAAAGTGCTGTTCCTTTTTTTTTTCTTCTTCTTCTTAGTACAGTACTTGCATCTTAGCACATCGTCATTTTTGGATCTGTGTATAGACTTTTCTGCCTCACAAATAGATATTTTGACCCTTTCGGTCATGACTTTTTAATTACTTTTGATTTATTATAGTGTTAGGGCTTTTACACTGAGCTGCACTTGTAAGGGCCCCTTTCTTCATGTCTTTGTTGCCTGAACAGGTTAAGTGTAAGGTGGTCTGAAAACTTACTTCAAATGCATTTATTTATTTGCTTTTTATTTGGCAAATGATGCAGATTTTGAATAGAAAAATACTAAAGTGCAGATGAGTAGAGGAAAAAAAAAATCTGTAATCCTACCCAAAAGTAAGACCGCCATTGAGCCTTTGGTTATAGCCTTTTTGACCAGATTGTGACAAGATACAGATGTAGCATGTGTACATATTATAGATAGATAGTATACAAGAATGTATTTATGTCTCATGTATACTGCACACACACAGAATCCACATCTAGGTAGCATCTGTTAAACTGGTTTCATTACAGCCGTAGAGAAATGGCCACTGCAGAGTCTCTGCTGAAATAAAGTTGCATGAAGTCATTTCCATGGTGGCTCAGCAACATGTATCACCTCGTGATGATGACTTCTTTCTCTAAAGCATTGCACATTGCACTTATAAATTGGTCATGAGTTACCTAAATGACAACTTATAATAGGTCATGAATTACCTAAATGACCCCAACACTGATCTCTGTAAAATGGTGAGTATTTGAACCACTGGGAATAGTGCTCTTGAGCTATAAAAATTCCTTTGTTAACATTAGTGGTCATCTTCAGTATTTATAATCTAGTGATCTGAATAATTCTCCACGTAGTCTGCACCATTTTGCCTGTAGACTTAATAATGGACTTTCTTTTATTCTTTTTTTTTGTACCGGGAATTGAACTCAAGACCTTGTGCTTGCCAGGCAAGTGTCTGTACCACTGAGTTATATCCCCGGCCCCTAATCATGGACTTTAATGCAGAGAGAAAACTCACAGTGTACCAAGCATGTTTTTCAGTAGTTGTAATAGAAAGGGATGACTTTTCAAATATCCTCACATTTACATTTAAAGTGTTGTAGCTGTTTTTTTTTTTTTTTTTCTTCTAAACTGTTTATGTGTAATCTCATTCTAACATCTTAGTTGATGGTCCTATCAAAACATATTTCAGTCAGCATTGATTCTTTACTCCCGTTATATTAGAAAATCTACTTATAAAACATTTTCTACATCTAACCTGTATTCATCATTTCCCCCACTGACACTGTAAGACACTATCATTAACTCTTGTCTCCTGTGTAGCTCCTAACTGATCTTTTTCCAAAACTCCCTCCCTCCTCCTCTCTTTTGGCCCTTCCCTTCTTCCTTCCTTTTTTTTGGTACCGGGAATCAAGCTCAGGACCTTGTGCTTGCCAGGCCAGCGCTGCACCACTGAGCTATTTCCCCGGTCCCCTTCTCCCTCCTTTCTTCCTTCCTTCCCCTCCTTCCTTACTGCTCTGTGGTCATGTTCTTTTTCCACAGGGCAGCCAAACTAGTTGTAAATTTTGAAGTTAAGTCGGTGTTCCCCTACCTAAAACTATCTGGCACTTCCCATTTCATTTAGGATAGTGATGCTAACCCTTTTAGAATTTTCAATGGTATAGACAGCCCTCTGCAGCACATGTGCCATAGGTTTAGGATAAAACTGAAGCTCTTCTTGGTGTATAACATTTTATATATACTCATTCCTCTATACCCACTGAAGCTCTTTTTAAAAAATTTTTACTTATTTATTTATTGAGACAGAGTTTCATTATATAATTCAGTCTGTCCTTAAACTCACTTCTTATCCCAGGCTGAATTTGCAGTGCTCCTCTTGCCTCAGCCTCCTGAGTGCTGGGATCACAGGTGTGTGCTATGATGCCTGTTTGAAGCTCTTTTTGTTCATTGTAGCCATACTGGTTGAGATACTCCATGAATAAGCTCAGCACTATTTGCTAGTACCGTTGTGTGGAATATTCTTCCTTGAGGTGTTGGAATAGCCAACTTCATCATTTCAAAGTGCTTTTCAATCAGTCTTCGTGAATATTACCTCTCTGCCTTCCTTATTTTCTGTAGAGAACACATAGATCTGATTATGGAAAGTTACATTGGTTATATGTGCCTCCCCGTACTACATAAATTGAATTAGGAGCTTTGCCTTGTTCTTGCTCTGCATATATTGTCTGAATCAGTGCTTAATCCAAATACCTTAGAAGACTTACTATGAAACTGTGACTTACTCTTCGTGGCACTGAGTGTTATCATTTCTGTTTGAGTGAAATTATGAGTACTATGTTGAGAATTAAAGTTCTTTCACAGTTTGGAAAGCATTCTGCAAGCTGATGGTGATTTTATCTCTCTAATAAAATTAGGCTTAAAAAGAGAACAGTTTTATTTTTGTTTGTTTGTTTTGTTTTTTGTTTTTTTTTTCCAATACTGGGGATCGAACTCACGACCCTGCACTTGCCGGGCAGGTGCTGTGCCGCTGAGCTAAATCCCCAGCCCCAAAAGAGAACAGTTTTAGCAGTCTGTCTCAAACAAAAACTCTATAAAGTTTTTATGCTTTTTAGTTAGACTGTTCTCAAAACTATTGAGGTAAGGACTAAGGAAAGAGAAAGTAACTTTTGCATTAAGTTATATATATACTTTTGTATGTGCAGGGAGAAATTGATTAAGAGAAACCAGAAAGGTGCTAGCTTAAACATTTGCATAATCTGAAGTTTGTGCTTTGATTTAAAAAGAATTTCATTGGAAATGTTTTAAAATTACATCTTTCAGTTCTTTTTCTAATTGTAGGTTTACATATAGTTTACATCATATAAAAGATACATATTTTCTTTTCAGTATTGATTTGTATGTATTTGCAGTACATGATTACATTCATCATGGGGAGCTGGTACGTGTGCATAACACATCTTAATTCTTTTAATTTTCCCTTTTCCCCTCCCTCTCCCCTCCTTCAAAAGATGCAACCATAAATTGTAACATGTTTTTCCTTAATCTTGTTATGAATAAAAGGTCACCTGAGGGGTCAAGAAATATTTTTCCTTGTTTTGTTGTGATAATTTTTAAATGAATAATATTTTTTAAAAAGCCAGACTGTTCCATATAGGATTTTAGGTACTGTTAACAGATAGTAGTTAGGCTAACACCTTAATATAAGTTGTTTCTTCTCTTACTTCAAAGTAAACATTTTAATACACTCTGTGCTGTTGAGAGCTTTTTAGTGTTGCCAGTATTGTTACTAAGGTGCCATTACTGACATAAGTCAGACTTCAGTAGCATGACTCCAGGTTTTCTGGGCTACTGCTGAATCAGTGTCAAATTATAAGTTGAATTTTATTGATATGAAAATTAAATAGTGGAGACTTACATTTTATAGTTTTAGTAAACTTTTATTTTGAAGAAAAATCCACATATAGAAAAGTAAAAAATCATTAGGGAAGTTAAGAACATAATTGTTTTAAATTGCTTTAGGAAAATGCGGCCAAGTGTTTTGGGAAGCATGACAAAAATAATTAGGAGACACATGGGAGCGTAACAAAACCTTCACTTCCTATGAGATATTCGCCTTAGAGAGTGATTCTTAAGCTTTGGCCTGGGCTATTCCAGAGGAAGGGACATGAAATTCTTTCTAGACGCTCAATAGAAAGTTAATGTAAATTCCCTTAGACTTTATATGTCATGTAAAACTTTTGTAAGAGAGTATTATAGGAAAAAGGAGTTGGAAGCAATTCTGTTCTTCCCTGCCTTCAGCATGTAACTTTGATGTGATTTACAGCAATGCTATATTAGAAGGTATTGAAAATGACCTGTATCGAGCCAGGCATGGTGGTACATGCTTGTAATCCTAGCACTCAGGAGTCTGAGGCAGGACGATCATTGTGAGTTCAAGGCCAGCCTGAACTGCATAGTGAGACCCTGTCCTCCCCCCCCCCAAAAAAGAAAAAGAAAACGTATGTCTAGTAGTAGGGACTGACAAGGTAATTGTATATGTATCTATATAGCATTTTTAAAGACTAGTGATTAGATACTGTATATACACCTCTGGAAGAGATGTCTAAGGTCTTTTAAAGAAAACATTTCTTTCAAGTTTATATCATGTTGATTACTCATTTTTAAAGAACCAAATAGTTCCCTATTAAACGTTAGAGAAAATATGAGTGCTGTCCTAGTATTTTTATCTTCTTGTAGCATCTCTCACAAAGCTTTCTGATTTGCTTCAGTCTAGACTGGGTGCCTTCTATACCTGCTAAATAGCTGTCATCTGGAATTTTCTTCATTTCTCTTTTTGGAGTTGTGGTGATTGTAACTTATTCCCTACATCATAAGTCTTTTCAGCTTTGTTTTACCTATTTCGATGCATTCCATCCTTCCTCTACTTCCTGGAGAGAAGATACAGGGAAATATGATAGGAAGGTAACAATGGTTAATACATTGCATATTGTTACCTTTAAGTTAGTTACTCAGGGTATGAGATATCAGCATTTAATAGTCCAAACAGTATTAGCACAAACCTACCTTTCAAATGAACTGAGAGAAATTAGTAGTGTAACTATTTTAACTATCTTTTTAATATATATACATATATATGTATATATATTTTTTTCCTTTTGCTTTTCCTTTCTTTCTGTTTTTTAGGGTTAGGGTTAAGGCCTTTTATTCCACTCTTATTTTGAAGTATGTGGCTAGCTAAGGAATTGGAAGTGTTTCTTTCAGGATTTTGAAGGCAATGCTTTTATACTAGTTCTCATTATTGTTTTTGAAGGCTTTCTGTTATCTGTTCATTTATTTTTCTGCTAAGGTCCTGTAGAGGTCTTCTCTTACTCTTTAGTTCTACCACATCATGGTGATATACATTATATTCCCTGGTGGAGGAGTTGAGGAATCCATTGTGTTGAGCTCTTGGTGACCTTTTAATATGGAAAAATCTTTCAGTTATCCCCCCTCCTCCCCCTGTTGTTTTCTGTTTCATAGTTCTGAAACAGAATTTGCTTTCCTGGCTTGGTTCTCAAAGTTTGTGATCTATTTTCTCCTGTTTTCTGCTTTTTAAAAAAACTTCCTGTATGATTTTCTCACCTTGGTTAAACAAACTCTTAGTTAGATTTTTCTTCCCTCTTTTAATCTCTAAAAGTTTTGTGGGTTTCTGTCTGTCTTTTTCTTTCTTTCCCTTTTTTTGGGGGGGATATTTTTTCTTGTTTTATAGTTGCAATGTCATAACTCTGTGAAGTTATTTAGATTTTTTTCTTTTAATTTTGTGTTTTCTGGGATAGTCTCTAATTCTGCTAAGTTTTTTCTGTTTAGCGGTCAGTTTTTCATGTTAGAATTTCCTTAGTGTCTCATAGACCTTGCATTGTAGTAAGGCACGGAACACTAAAAGACTGTGTGGGCGCTTGCATCATCTGCACGCGCCTTCGGGATTTGGGCTTGATGGCAGGGTTCTTTTTCCCAAACAGTGTGCAATTTTGCCTCATGGGGACACGTTTGAAAACAAAAACTAGTTGCTTATTTCAGTATTATCAATGTGCATTATTAAGTGGGGGGGGGGAATATTACAGAACAGATATAAAGCTTGATTACAGTTTGGTGAAAATAATTGCCTTAAGCATTGAAGTGAAATACTATAGATTCCATACTATTGATTTTTTTTTTTTCCTACAGGGAATTTGGGATGACCATGATCTCTCTTACACATTTCTGTATTCTTTGAAATATTTGTAACAACTGAAGGGGTGTTGCTGGCATATAGTGGGTAGGGGCCAGGGTTACTGTTAAACATCCAGCCCCCAAATGTTTATTGTGCCAAGGTTGAGAAGTACAGTGATGCTGATTTGTGAGAATTCTCTGGAGCCTGTATCTTTTAGGCTGGTCAGATTCCTAAAAAGAATGTCTGTTCTCCTGGTAGGAACAAAAAGGTCTTGCTGCTTTGGTTATGAGAGTCTGGCAGTCTGACATACCTTATTCCTAATTCATGCTCACCCAATCTGGCGATACTTTGTTTTACTGTTTAGAGCAGAAATTAGCAATTTTTTTAATGGAAAGGATCAGGTAACTAATATTTTAGTGGGCCATATCATGCCTGCTTTAATTGCTATTTTAGTGTGACTATATCTATAGTCTGTAAAGGAACAAGCATGATTGTGTTCCAATAAACCTCTATTTATGGATCCTAAAAGTGATCCTAAACATTTTATTTTCATGTGTCATAAAATTTGCTGTTCTTTTCCAACCCACTTAACTGTAAGCACTCTTTGAACTGTTAAAAAAATAGCCTGAAGGATTTGATTTGCCAGCCCTTTGCATGAGAGTAGCTGCTTGCTTTTTATTAGGACTGAAGAGAGGCAGTGTATGGGAACTTTAAAAAGTTGGTGAGATTTAGCGATTTGCTTCTTAAACAGCCTTTTCTCAAATACTCCTTACTATAGCTGTACCACACCTGCATTTTTTGTGTTTGTGCTATCAATTCCTGAGCTATTTGAGGATTTTTGAAGCCATAGATAGATGGATAGATAGATAGACAGACAGACAGACAGACAAGATGGATGGATAGATAAATGTCTTTGCTTTTTTGACTGTGGGATTATATTCAGCTCTTTCATGTCCATTCCATTCTTCATACTTCTCTGTCTGCTTTGCAGCTTCCCAGGTGGCTCTTTTTGTCATTTCCCTTCCATTGTTGGTTTATGACTTAAACATAAAATTTTCTTTTATTTTGTTAGTGTTTGAAGAAAACAGGAACGAGGTTTTCTGTTCATCATTTTGAGTGTACATTATTAAATGGAGGAAGTATTTTTTTTTTTTTTGTACATGGAATCGAACTCAGGACCTTGCACTTGCCAGGCAGGCGCTTGTGCTACTGAGCTATCTCCCCTGCCCTAAATGGAGGAAGTATTATAGAATAGATGTAAAGTCTGATTACATTTTGGTGATAATAATTGCCTTAAGCAATGAAGTAAAATTGCCTTAAGAAATGAAGTATTCTATAGATTACGTACTGTTGTTTTTTTTTTTCCTCCCCTTACAGGGAATTTAGGAGAACTATGATTTCGCTTACACATTTCTAAATTCTTTTTGTTTGTCTGTTTTTGAGACAGGGGTCTTGCTATGTAGTTCATGCTGACCTTGAGCTAACTGTGTAGCCCAGGCTCGCTTCAAGCTCACTGCTATCCTCCTGCCTTAGCCTCCTGAGTGCTGGGATTACAGGCATGTGTCACCATACCCAGCTTTCTAAATTCTTTAAAATAGTTATAATGTCTATTTGTTTTGTAATCAAGGGGAAATTAAAGAGGCTTTTAACTTTTTTTTCTCTTGTTCTGTAAGTCTAAGCAGACAGATGTATAATACTTCACTGAAGTTTAAAGTGGAACTTGCAATAGATAGTGTTTTTTTAATTATCTGTATTTAATAATACTCTATTATAGCTTGGACAGACTTTTGGTAGATAAGTTACATATATGAAATATTGACATGTCAAATTGATATATTTTGTAATAGGTGTTTGATCAGTATGTAAAGACCAGGGCAGAAGAAGAACGTAGGGAAAAGAAAAACAAAATAATGCAAGCCAAGGAAGATTTCAAAAAAATGATGGAAGAAGCAAAGTTTAATCCAAGGTATGTGGTTTATTACTGTTGAAAATCAAATGTGTGTTTATTTTCTTCAAAGACCCTGCCCCCATTTGTATGGCTGTGTGTACCGATACCTTGTGGATTTCTGAGTATTTGAACACGAAAGTGCCTTATTTGTGTATTGGTTTCTGCCTTTCTAATCTTTTTGTAGAATGTTTCCTTTTAGAGAACCCCTCAGGTGCTCTAAAAAGGGTACTTTTGAATTAAATGTTTTCCTATGGGGAGTAAGTTCTTCTCTAGAAACTCGTTAATGGTGTAACATCCCTGTCTTCATAAAGGTTTATGCAGACAAGAAGCACTATTTTGATCAAATTGAAGTGGGCAAGGACCTTTCATTTTGAAGTTTTCTAAACATCTAGATTGTATTTGGCATTTTCAGTCAAGTTGTTAATATGTATTGAATACATGTAATGATATGAAGAAAATGAGGCATTTTAAATATGTATCTCTAGCATTATAATAACAGTAATAGCAAGTATTGAGTTTTATGTGCTTAAGCATATATTCCTAAATGCACTTAGATATGTTATTGAATCTCAGAACAGTCAGTATGATGTAGGTACTCATCAATCCTGTTTTACAGATAAGGAAATAAGGCATTCATACTATGGGTAGGAGGAATTGTTATTTATGGCTTAGCTATAATAGTGTTATGAAGTTACTGTGAATACCTCAGTACATGTACTGTGAATACCTCAGCCCAGGCTAGCCTTGAATTCCTCCTATCTCAGCCTCCCAAGTGCTAGGATTTACAGAAGTACTGCTAACTTCTGTGAATTCCTGTCATCTGTCTGTCTTGTCTGTCCCTGTCCTTGTATATCTCTGTCTCTATTGATGGCAATACTGGGGATCAGACCTATGCCCTTGTGTGTACTAGGCAAATGCAGTACCACTGAACTATATCCTTAGCTCCATAGAGAATTCCTAAAACTGTAGGGTGGAACCATGGAAGGGCTGCATTAAATGGTACTTTGAATGAACTCATTTTATTTAGACTGTTATTAATAGCAGACTTAGGGAAGAATGATGATACCTGTCTTTTTCTCATTGCTGAGACAAAATATCCAATACCCAAAGTTAAAGGAGGAAAGGTTTATTTAGCTCACAGTTTGTAGAGGTTTCAGTCTATAAGCAGGTGGCTCCAAGGCAGAGGGGCATCACAGAGGAGAAACAGTTCATGGCAAGCAGAGGGCAGCAGAGTAGTGAGTGATAGGTGTTATGGTTTATGTCTGTGTGTCCCCTCCAAAACCTCATGCGACCATGGGGCAGGCTTTTAGAGTTGAATTGTGGGTGTGAGAGCTACACCCGCCCTGGGGTGGATAGTTTGCATATGTAAGGGAGAGGAAAAGAGTGCTTGGGGCCATTCCTCCCCCATCCCACCCTGGTGTGTGTTTGCAGCTTAGCTGTGTTCTGCCGCCCTGAGCTGTAGCTCTTTGCCATGTGCCACTCTGCCTTATAATCTGCCAAGTACGGACTGAAACTTCCACGAACTGTAAGTGAAATGAACCTTTCCTTCCTTAATTTTGGGTGTCAGGTATTTTGTCCCAGCAGCGAGAAAAATGGTAACCAAGACAATAGGCAATGACACTAGCCTACTTTCTGTCCTTTATATTTTATAGGGACCACCCAATCTTAGGGCAGGTAGCACTCACACCCAGGGTGGGGTACCCTGAATCCTGTGCAGAACTATACCAAATCAGTCAGCGTACTAATTTAGTAACCACACCTGCCTGATCCTGGCATCACACACTCTAGATCCAGCTACCTCTGAAAAGCCCCACCTTAACTGCATGAGGCTTTTGGGAGGGACACCTAGACACAAGCTATAACAGATGTTATTGGAGATAGTGTATTTAGTATTGTAGTGAAATACCAGGAGAGTCAGAAATATAAGAGCAACTTCAGGTGTTGGTATATTTGTAGCTAAGAAGAATGTAATATTCTTCAGGGGCTAATAGAATTTCAGACTCTTCAGGTGATTGTGGGCTTTTTCCTAAAAAGTTAGAAGAATGAACTCATGGGTCACAGTAGTTGAGACTGCGATAAAAGACATTTTATGGGCAGTTGAGGAAAAATGGGTATTATATATTGGAGGACTATTAATGAATTTTCTTGAGTTGCTGTAGTTACGACAGAAAAAGGGTTACTTAGGAGTTGCATGCTATGAATGCTTGTGTTTGTAGCTTTTATCAAATCGGTGAAATGTATTTATTAAAACTCTTTATAGGTCTGGGAATAACTGAAATTCCAGAGGTCTCTCTTTTGTAGATGTAAGTCCTACTATATTGTGTACCCTACTGGTATTTTATTTTGAGCAGATAAGATTGAAGTGGTCTGTACAGTGCAGATTACTTTAGAAAATAAAATCAGCAAGCAGCTACATTGGTACATTTAGCGTATAGGTTAGGACCATTTTTAGTATGTAGAAGAAAATAAGAATTTAAAAGTAAGAAAATATGATCCATTGTCAAGTTGGGAAAAGACCACTGTCACAAAACTCCTTGGTAGAGCCAGGAAATGTAACAGTGGGGATTGTCCCAAAGGGAAAGGATGATTGGGGAAAATTGTTCAACTGTGCCTGTCTCTTCTGTGTCATTTTCTTTTTAATGTAAACTTCAGGCGTATTTGCCATGGTCACCTACACGTCCTTCTCTCCATCCCCTACCACCAGCTTACTTGTCTCCCTCAAGGATTTTTTTCCTTTTACCTGGTCGATTTTAAAATAGTGCTTTTCTGTGTTGAGTTATACAAACACATCTCCGTAAGAGTCTAATGCTGAACTTTTGTTTTAGTCTTATAATAAAAGATAATAAATATCTTACCTATTATAAATAATGTCTAAAATAATTTAATTCTCATTTTTACATGTTGGTTTTGCATTTTTTAAAAGTTTATGGTTTTTAAGTGTAGTAGTATGCATTTAAAGTTGTAAAGCAAGGTGCTTAATTTATTACCAAGAGAGAACATTTAATGTACTACAAGTGATCCCTGTTACGGGATACACATTTTTATTTTACCTTAAAATTTTATTATGGTTGCATGTATATTGTTCAAACCAAGTTGGCAATATTTTCTGTTGTTTAAGATGTTAAATATATGAAAATTGATAAAATTATGAGTAATTTGACTGTGTAGAAAAGATTGTTATAGTCTGTCTTTTGCTAGCAGTAGTTTAAAAAATATCATGTTACCTGTGAGTGCTACTCTTAATTTTTGGTTAATATTTTAAATTCTGAATTCTAAAGTTGACCAGCCAGTTTTTCTTTGAAATTAAAGGCATAGTTAGTCTTTGTTTTAACACAGAAGAGTATTTTTGCTTTGAGATACTGTAGTATTTAAGGTGAAAATAAACTTTATTTTTACCTTGTAATAACATGCTAAATAATGGTTGCTTTATTATCAGAGTAAATTCTTACTGTATAAAATGAATTCTTAGTATTAAAAAATATTTACCCAGTGTATATTAAAGTTTATAATGCTTTGTATTCACAGACAGAGTTCCATTTTTTATTTTGTCTTTTTGAGACAGGGTCTCGCTATGCAGTTCAGGCTGGCCTTGAGCTCACTTTGTAGCCCAGGCTGGTCTCAAACCTGCAACCATCCTCCTGCCTCAGCTTTCCGAGTGCTGGGATTACAAGAGTTCCATTTTTAATACCATACTCAGTAGCCCTCATTGGCCTCATCTTTTCACTTCAGCCTATTTGGTTTTTTGTTTTTTTTTTTTTTTTGTTTTTCTTCTGGTACCAGGAATTGAACTCATGACCTTGCACTTGCCAGGCAGGTGCTTTGCCACTGAGCTAAATCCCCAGCCCCACTTCAGCCTATTTGGGATTTGCGGAGATTTTGTGGTCTATATTGATGTTTTTCATCGAATTTGTGAAGTTTTTAGTTAGGTTTTCTTTTTTCTTTTTGCCCTTTGGGATTTTATTTAACACATATATTAAAGCTCTTGATGGTATCTTGCAGGTTCCTCCCAGTCTTTTTGTTTCTTTTTTTTTTTTTTTTTTTTTTTTTTTTTTTTTTGGTTTTTCTCCGGTACCGGGAACCGAACTCACGACCTTGCACTTGCCAGGCAGGCGCTTTGCCGCTGAGCTAAATCCCCAGCCCCTTTTTTGTTTCTTTTGATTAGATAATTTTTATTGACCTAACTGCATGTAAATGGCTCAGTCCTAACCTGTGTAGTTAATGTTCTTTTTTTTTTATATTTTCCATATATTTGTTTAAATTTGCTGTCTGTTCATTAAGACCATGTTTCTCGTCATTTTAACTGATTTTCCCTTAATTCTTTCAATGTACTTAAAAGTAGTTGTTGCTGGGCGTGGCGGTGCATGTCTGTAAGCCAAGCTCTGGAGGCTGAGGCAGGAGATCAGCCTGCTGTGAGTTTGAGGCCAGCTTGGGCTGCAAAGTGAGCTAAGGCCAGTCTGAACTACACAGTGAGACCCTGTCTCAAAAACCAACGAAAAATTGACTATTTTAGGATAACATCTTGACATCTGGGATTCAGTTTCTGTTGAAATCTAAAAAATAGCTTTCCATGAATTACATGTTTCTTGTAAAATTTTTCAGCATTGTGAATAACTGGGACTCTAGAATCTTTTCTTTTTCACTGAAGAATGGGGGTTTTTGTTTTAGCAGGCAGTTACTGGCTGCCCCCTTAATTTTAGACTAGATTTTTAGGGGAGATCTCTGAAAGCAGGATGTCTTTCTCCTCTTCCCAGCTACCTCCTCTGGGGATCTTTTGCGGACTGTGTTGGCAGCACTATTGAATCTCCGTTGTTTTTTCTCTCAACCCTGTAATAGCATGGTGTAGGAAATGGCCATTCCCTGTTCTTGGCCTCATCTGTGGACCTTTTGGGAACCATTTGTAGGTTGGGTTCTTCTGGGGCACCCTCCTTCATAGATTTTTTTTCTTTTAGCACCCAAAATCTGATGTTTGCTACGTACAGTTTTGGGGCCACTGTGCTCTGTTTGCACTCAAGGTCTTTGTACCTTGGGAAATTGTCTGAAGGTTATTAATTTCTCTTTTTTCTGGCATCTCAATCTTACTTTTTGGGTTTATTTTTTTCTTCCCCGGTACTGGGAATCGAACTCAAGACATTGCACTTGCCAGGCAGGCACTGTGCCGCTGAGCTAAATCCCCAGGCCCTCAGTCCTACTTTCTATATTGTTAACCCCCTCATATATTTTGTTCAGTTTAATCTCTAACATCCAGCTGCCACCACTGTAGCCTTTCTTTGATATTTTGAGACAGGATCTCACTATGTAGTTCAGGCTGGCCTTGAATATAATTCATAACCTTCCTGCCTCACCCTCTTAAAATGTGTGATTATTAGATGTGTGCCACCGCCACACTTGACTTCTTTTGTCTTTGCAAATATAAATGAACGAATGAATGAATGAATGAATGAGTATTCCTCTTGGTTCATTCTGATGGCATATTAATCACTAGCCTCATTTTGATTTTTAAGCTTTTTTTACTCCTTTCCGTGACTCATTATTCACTGTTGAGGCAGATTTTGGGATCAAATATTTGGCATATATTCATGCTAGGAAAATGATATTTTTGTTATACTTTTCTGCAAGCAAAAACAGCTCAACCAAAGTTAGTGCATCTATCATTTTGTTACAGAGCTACTTTTAGTGAATTTGCAGCCAAACATGCTAAAGATTCAAGGTTTAAAGCAATTGAAAAGATGAAAGATCGAGAAGCATTATTTAATGAATTTGTGGCAGCTGCAAGAAAGAAAGAGAAGGAAGATTCGAAGACCAGAGGTGAGAAGGTAAGGTGGTTTTAATTCCAATGGTGGGATTGATGGGAGGGTGAATGGGAAAGACTAATCTCGTGCTGTATTTCTAATTTCATTTATGGACATAAATAGTTCTGTATTTACTGTTCTTTTACATTTTATACTGGTTTATATTGCTCACAATGCTTATTTTAGTAATTTCACTAGACTATATAGGTTGTCTTCATTATATAGGTTGCTTTAAATTTTAGGGATGGGGTTATAGCTCAGCACAGTGCCTGCCTGGCAAATGTGAGACCCTGAGTTTGATTTTTGGTACCAAAAAAAAAACTTTATTAACACTGAGAAGTCTGGTAAGCTCAGAACTGTTTTGCAGGACTGCCATTTCAGTGGTACTTGCTGAATGGCTAGTAAGATTCTTTATAGGTGATAAAATTTGAATTTCAAAGAACTTTATTTTCTTACCCTGTAGAAAATAGCATTTTAGTGACTTTCTAATCTTTTAGTAAACACATCTTACATATAAATTATTGCTTATTGGAATTAAAGGTTAGCTATTAAAGATTAATGAGTTCCAAATGTCATTTGAAAATAATGTTAGGAGTAAAGAGGAGCTCACCACCGAGGCGGCAGCCTGGTAAGAAGATGCACCAGAGGTGCAGAGCCGGCAGAACGCGCAGCGCTCTCCTCCCAGTGTCCCAGCGCGCTGTGTGAATGGGAGCAGGACCTCTGGGAGCCTGCTCGTTCTTGACATTTAAAAATTGCTGCTTATTTCAGAAAGCTAAAATATGACAATTTCTATTAAGAATGTTGTAAGAGAATTAATACTAATCTTATTGAGAAAAGGCCTCTTTCATTAAGATAGTGACAGTAGTTGGTAAAACAACTTTTGGCAGAAATGATCTGAAACTTCTTAACTCTCTGATTTATTGGGTTTTAAAGTAAATCTTTCCAGAATTATTTAATGTTAACTTTTAAAAAAAAAAATATTATACCTGTTAGGATATGTGTAAAGTCAAATTCTTCATAAACATTTTATATGTTGAATTAGAGTCAGGTTAATAAATTGTTACTTTCAGAAAAACTGACCTGATGAGAGAAGATCAAGTAAATAAATGTTTACTATTGCATGCTTTTATACAGATTAATGTATTTCTGCATTTGTAGCTTATTTTCTAAACACGTTTTGTAACTTTTATGTATTTTATAATAAGGGGATTGGTGTTACAGACTCGTGCTGTGCAGCCTTTCAGTTAGTTCATTAGACAGCTGTCAGGCAGTGACATACAAAGTATCATGGGTTCCCTAGTGAGGAGAGAATTGGTAGCTCTCTGTGGTGGCTTTAGCCTCATGTAGTTCTGGTACTTGACATTCTTTTAGTCTTGTTTCCCTTATGAAGTGGTAACAGTTGTGCCTAGAACATTAATTTTAAAAAAGAAATTAAATAGACATGATGTCTAAATGAATCTAAAATACTCAACTTTATTTTCTGTTGATTGCAAAAGTTTTAATTCTCTAAATTGGAGGTTTGTCTTTATACTGGTACTAAGTAAAAATTAATAAGGCATGACATTACTAAAAGGAAGCTTTTTCAGACGGTTTAAATAATGCAAAATCACTTAGTAGTCCATCAAAGAAGTCTTCAAAGTAAGGGTTTTCAAATATAGTAGATTTATATTCACATTCTGAGAAGTATTTGGTTTATGAAATTTTGTTGCCTCTTGCATGACTTCCATTGCATTAATTGTATTGTTAGGGCATAAATTGTTCGTGCTATTTTTTAAAATCACATTGTAACTGTAATTGGATATAAGATCAGTACCAGTAGCATGAAATAGTACAGGTTTTAAAACAATCACTTGCTGAGTCAAAACCAGTGAAGAACATTGCTTCTGAGGAAATCTTTTTTTAAGTACCATTTTTGAGTTAAAGGTAGGATCATTTTGATTGTAGTTTTTAACCATTTTTCATTTTATAAAAAAAGCCCTTAAAAGTCTTTTTCTACTTGTGTGATTGTAAAATTTTTAATTCTCTAAATAGTAGGTTCGTCCTTTTACTGGTACTAAATAAAAAATAATGAGGCAGCACATTGCTAAAAGGAAGCTTTTTCAGACAGTTTAAAGAATGTAAATCACTTACTAGTCCATCAAAGAAGTCTTCAAAGTAAGGGTTTTGTCAGATCAACTACCCTCAAAATTTTATTATTTATTTCTATTATTATAACCAGTTTTTGTAAAATTGTAGTTCAAATACTTTAGCTTTTGAAACAGCACATTTGAAGTTACACATAATGGAGTCGGTCCTGTGTTATGAAGCCATTGTCCCATTATGAGGCTGTCTATTACTGAGTATTTTTGTAGGGAAGAAAACAGGAATAACACAGTGGATTGAGCCTCGTGGTAAACCACATGTTTTGACATTTATGCAACTGTCAAATAACTCTCACATAGGTAATAATAGCCTTAGGAAGCCTTTTAAACCTGTTGTGGTAATATCCATAATGAAAGGAAGTTAAAATTTAACTTTATTTGTAGTTCATTTGTTTACACATCACACATTTTAACACTGCTATTTGAGAACCCTTTCTTTATAGGCTTCATGTCTAATATTTAAAGATTGCTTTAAGTTAATGTAAATTCCTATGGTTTAGAAAAACTATTCGATACAAATTGCATGATTTTATTTAATGTAAATTTTGTCTTCTACCAAAAACACCTAGGAATTTAGTGTTCATTATTTTAGATATAAAGTAGGTAAGAAGAAAAATTACATTGCATCACTTTACATCAAGTGGCTTGTTAATAACAGTCTTATTTTGTTCGTTTTTTTGAGACAGGGTCTCACCATGTAGTCCAGGCTGGCCTTGAACTCACTATATTGCCCAGCCTGGCCTCAAAGTTGTGGTGATCCTCCTGCCTTAGTCTCTCAAGTGCTGGAATCACAGGCATGCGCTGTCACACCTGGTTTAACTGTCTTTTTATGGGTTTTTTCATTAATGTAAACAGTCGAGAGCCATTAGAGGAATCCATAGCTCGCTCTTTTAAAAATGTTTCTAATGCAGAAATTGTTTCTTGTAACCTTACAAATTTTTTTTTTTTTCCAAAAGAATGTGGAGCCTCTCATTTAGTCAGTCCTCTAATATAAGAAATGAGGTTGTGAGAGGAGTTGATAGTGTGGGAATAACTAGAAAAAATAATGCATTTATTTTTGTGCCCACACATTTTATATTCTGACTCAGGCCCTAATTTCTTACTCCCTTGGTCAAGCAGGAAGGCAGAATATTTAATCCTGTTCTGGAAGAGGTTCTTGACATCAGCAGAATCTTTTAGTAAAATGACTTCAGCTACCTTGAGTATCTTCTGTGGTAGGAATACAGGGTAATTCAAGTGAGTTTAAACTTAAAAACAATTAGGTCCTCAAAGGTTCCTCTTGATTTTTAAAGTATTTTACTGTCAATTCCTAAGTCTGAGTCTTAGCGAATAATAAAGGCAGCTCAGTGCAAATTCATATTCCCTATGAATATGTGGCAGTAAGATCAAAACTGAAACAGCCTTCTCCATTTTTTTAATATTTAGGTTTTCTGTATAAAATATGACATACTGAGTTTGACATATTTTAAATGGGAGCGAAATACTGGTTTTTTTTTTTTTTTTATTTCCAATGAAGGAGTAATTGTTAGTATTTTTAACCATATTTATACTTCTCTAAGTGTGTTTTGAAAGCTAATTGATCTCATATGTAAGGTAAGTAAATACTTTTCTAGTTGTAAATATTTAGATATGAGGAATTTCTCATGGTCCATCATTCTTCCCTATACCATTATCTGTTTTAAATACAGATCAAGTCAGATTTCTTTGAATTGTTGTCTAATCATCACTTGGACAGTCAGTCTCGATGGAGTAAAGTAAAAGACAAAGTGGAAAGTGATCCACGTTACAAAGCAGTGGACAGTTCATCGATGAGGGAAGATCTTTTTAAACAGTACATTGAAAAAATAGCCAAGGTAACGATTTTATTTGTACTGTTACTGAAGCATGAAATTATTAACTTTAGCAGTTTATGGGGTTTGGAATTTTTCTTGTTAATATTCTTAATGTATAATTCTCTAGGAGATGATTTGGAGATGGGGTATAATGTTCAGATATGTGTATTCTTGGTAAGAACTAGGTTTGAAACACTTGGTTTGACCAGCTGGTTATTCTGCGGAAATGTGTTTTGATGGAGTTAGTCAGAACTGTAATGTGATTTTACTTTTACAGAACTTAGATTCAGAAAAAGAAAAGGAGCTTGAAAGGCAAGCCCGCATTGAGGCAAGCCTTCGAGAACGGGAAAGAGAGGTTCAAAAAGCTCGTTCTGAACAAACGAAAGAAATAGATCGAGAGAGAGAGCAACACAAACGAGAAGAAGCCATTCAGAATTTCAAGGCGCTTCTGTCTGACATGGTATAATACTTGATTTATTCATTCATTCATTCACTTGCCCCCTATCTAAGGTACTATTAGACATCAGTGATACTACCTTACTGTGAACATTTTAATTATTTTAATTGACTGAGAGATAATTTAAAGTTGTTTAACAGCATTTAAAAGTTGGATACTTGGTTTTAGCTTTGTTAGGACAGTCCTATAGTTACTTAGCAAGTTTAGTAATTAGGTGTTTTACTTACATGAATATTCGTAACCTTTTAGCCATAGAACGTTTTAATTCTTGTTGAAAGTCATCTTAATCTGGTACATACTTACCTGCCGTAGTAATCAAGTGTGCTGAACATAATGGGACCTTTTCCTTGGTGATTTGGGGTCATCGCCATGATGATTGCTGTACAGATAGCTGGTATGAGATGTAGGACTAGAGGTGTAGTGACCCAGTTTCCCTTGAAACCTTCTTGAAAATCCTTTTGCCTTATCCCTCAGGGTTGTTGAGGTATGTAGGGTTTTCTGTCCCTACGCTGAATGCTCCTAGACTGCTGTGCTGTATTACTTGTTTGTTTTTAACCTTCGTCGTCATATTCCTTACGTTGTTTCTTCTCATGTATTCAGTGAGACTCTTATTACTTATGTTGCTTCTTTCTCCTTTGCTTCTGCTTGCTTTTTTTTTTTTTTTTTTTTCTGCATTCTGGACAATTGTAGTTTTGAAATTTCTCTCCTGGCCTCCAACAGTCCCCCAAATTCATCTGATTTTGTCATTCTTTTGATTACCTGTAGAAAATGAAGGTTCTCCATACCCAGTTGCCTATGGGTCAAAGTCTACTTTTTAGCATACTATATAAGGTCATCCTCTATTCTTCTGCCTACATGTTACTTTATCATCTTGCTTTGCTCACCTTCTCCTTAAGCTCCAGCCTTGCTCAACTTAGTCGTGATGACCGCCACCATTCTCTTTGCTTTATGCCAGTTCCTCTGCATAGAATGCTTTGAAACTTCCCATGGCAGCACACACTTTCTCAGTGTTCAAGTGTGTGCAAGTTTCTGTGAGGCTGCTCCCTGCCTGTATAGCCAGACTTGACCTCGTTTTTCCTTTTACTGCACTTGAACTCAGCATACACTTCTGCACATATAATTATTTGCTTATATTTCTGTCCTTTAAAAAAGTGACAGCATCTTATTTTGTAGTCCCATTGCCAAGCATTATATTTACCTGACACATATTTAGCTGTTTGATAAATGCTGGTTAAGTAAATATTTTTATCTCTTTAGTCGCCCATATTTCCTAGGATTGGCAATAGTATGACATAACTTTTCTTTCCTTTTCTTTCTGGCACTAGAGATTGAACCCAGGGCCTCTGCACTTGAGCTAGATCCCCAGTCTTTTAAAATTCGAGACAAGGTCTCTATAAATTGCTTTTAAAAAGTTGTCCTGGGTGAGTTCAGACTTGTAGTCCTCCTGCCTCAGCTTCCTGTAGTGGTGGGATTCTAGTTAGGTGTCACTGTACCCAGTGTGACTTAATACCGTTAATATCAGTAATATTGGTTGATCAGACAGACCTATTATATCTTCTGTTATTTTATCTTTTTCAATTGACAGGTGGAATTGTATATATAGAATAACTCAAGCTACTTAACCATCATTTCATACACTTACCATTTTTGTGGTAAAACATTAGAAATTTACTCTTATTTTCAGTATGTAATGCACTAACCATCCTGCTGTGTAATAAATTTCAGAATTTATTCTTGCTGTCTGTCTGAAACGTGGTACCCTTTGAGTAGTAAGTCCCCGTTTCCTCCCTTCACTTTTTACCCCTTTCCTTTGTGACCGTCATTCCACTGTCCACTTCTGTAACTTCAGCCTTTAGATTCCACATATAAGTTAGGTCATGTGTTTTTTTGGTGGGGATTTTGGTGGGTTTTCTCTTTTTGGTTTTTGGCTTTGAGACTGCACAACTCTCTGTGTAGCTCAGGCAGGCCTCAAATTCATGGCGATCTCCTGCCTCAGTCTTCCTAGTGCTGGGATTGCAGGCACGCACCGTCTCGCCCAGTGTGGGTTTTGTTTTCTGCTGGCTTATTTCACCTAAATTAATGTCCTCCAGGTTCATCACGTCATAAATGACAGGGTTTTCTTCTTTTTTGCGCTGAAAGTAACGTGTGTGCAGATGTGTCACTCCGCGTTTTCTTTATCAGGTGATAGGTACTTTAGTTCCTTCCACATCTGGGGCATAGTGGATAATGATGCAGTGAACCTTGGAGTGCAGATCTTGCTTCAACATACTGATTTAATCTCTTTTGTGATATATACTTGGAAGTGGAATTACATGAGTAGTTCTGCTTTTAGGTTTTACTTATGGTATTTTATTTTGTTTTGTTTTCCTTTGATACTAGATATTGAACCCAGGGATGGTCTGCCAGTAAGCTACAGTCATAACCCTATTTACGTTTTATTATGAGACAGGATCTTGCAGAGTGGTCCAGGATGGTTTCAAAGTCATAATCCTCCTGCCTCAACCTCCCAAGTAGCTGGAATTATAGGCATGTGGCATCATGCTAACTCCATGTTAGTTTTTTTGAGAAACCTTATTGTAACAGCTTATGAGAGTTCCCATCTTAATAATGCTTCTTCTATCTTAGGATAAAAGTGTTTTCATTTGTTGTTGTTGTTGTTTTTTGTGTGGGGGATTGAACCGAGGGCCTTGCAATTGCTAGTGCTGTACTGAGCTCTATCTCCCATCCCAGTAAAAGCCATTGTTAATAGGTATGAGGTAATACCTCTTTGCTTTATGTGTCTTTTTGTGCCAGTACCATCTGTTGTTATTATAACTGCTTTATAGTATATTTTGAAATCAGGGAGTCTGATGCCTTCAGCCTCATTCTTTTTGCCAAGATTGTTTAGGCTCTTTGTTTTGGGTCTTTTGTGGTTTTGGATTAAGTGTTTTTTTCTGTTCTTACGAAAAATGACATTGGAATTTTGATGAGGATTATACTGAATCAGTCAATCACTTGGGGCAGTGTGGACATTTTAACAATGTCCTGTGTTTTGAATGAACACAGGATATCACTGTGTTTTCAGTTCCTCCTTCAATGTTTTATAGTTTTCAGTATACCTGAGTATTTTGTTGCTATTGCAAGTGGGATTATTTTCTTAATATTCTTTTTGATAGTTTGTTAGTCTGAGGAAAGGCTACTAATAACTTGTATGTTCCTTTGTATCCTGAAACTTTACTGAATTTATCTGTCAGTGCTAATGGTGTTTTGGAGTCCTCAGAGTTTTCCATATATAAGATCGTATGGTCAGCAGACAGGTTACTTTGACTTCATTTCTCAGTAGGTTGTCTCTTTCTTTCTCTTAATTAATTGTTATAGCTATGACTTCCAGTATTGTGTTGAAAAACAATTTGGAGAATGAACAGTTTGCTTTTATCTGAGAGGAAAAACTTTTTTAGCATTTCACTGTTGAGTATGGTGTTAGCTCTGGGTTTGTCCTATATAATCTTTATTGTGAGATATAGTTCATTTATTTCTGGAGAGTTTTTGTCATGACAGGATATTGCATTTTATCAGATAACTTTTTTCTGCATCTGTTGAGTGTGGTTTTTATCCTTTGTGGTATATCATGTTTATTGATTTGCATATATTGTCATCTTGGCTGTGTTACTTATGCTTAAAGGTGTCACTTCCAGTAGATAGTTGGTAAATACAAATTTGAATTCAAAGCTTTGTTTGCATTTTTTTTTTCAGATGCTTAATGCTCTAAGAATATAGAAATACCACCTATAGGGGCTGGGAATTTAGCTCAGTGGCATAGCGCCTGCCTGGCAATCGCAAGGTCGTGAGTTTGATTCCCGGTACCAGAAAAAAACCAAAAAGAAAAAAAGAAAAAAAAATACCACCTATAGTTAGTAAGGTATTAAATAAATACCTAAGTAGTATTTAATGTTCTTGTGGATTGTGGTTCAAAGGAGATACCTTCTTTTCATCTTTCTCCATCTCTAAACATATTTTATAGCTTAGTTGAATAATAGGAGGTAAGATTTCTGGCATAAAAGAAAGTGGATTTTTAGTACCTTATTAACTAAGATGGTGTTACCAAAACAGAAGCTGCTTTTCTAGATCATTGGAAATGCATATTGCTTATTGGTTGACTAATAACGTAGTGTCCTGAACTGATTAACTTGGTGAAAATTCTATTTCATGACCTTTTACCACAAGATTTGTTTATAGTCGAGTCCAGTAATGCTGAACATTTTATTTATTTATTTTTTTTATTTTTTTTTTAATGCTGAACATTTTAGAGCTTTTAGTGATACACCCTACTATGGCATGCATGCCGAAGGTTTGCCACTACTGGGGTAGTCAAAGGGATATATTTTTTCAGAGAATGAGAATGTTAATTTTTAACATTCTCAGTGTGACCCTCCTTTTTTAAGGTAGAAGTTGGGTTTATCATTCTTGAACTAGCTAAGTGAGCCTTGCATTGTTAAAATACAAAAAGTCCGTTTGGTGAGATAGGTGGTTCTCTGTCTTTAGGTACGTTCTTCAGATGTGTCATGGTCTGATACTCGAAGGACGCTCCGTAAAGATCACCGCTGGGAATCTGGATCCTTATTGGAAAGAGAGGAGAAGGAAAAGCTTTTTAATGAACACATTGAAGCACTTACCAAAAAGAAAAGGGAGCACTTTCGGCAACTTTTGGATGAAACCTCTGCGGTGAGAGTCTCTTATTTTTCCTATTTTTCATGTGGATTGATAGGATTTTTAGTGTCGTATTTAGATCAGTTGATGAAATTCATAAATTTTATGGCACTTGCTGCTTTTTTTTTTTCAGTATGTTGTGGCATTCTTACTATTTAGAAATTACTTTCTGCAGTTTTCAAATTCAGAACAGTTTCCTCTGGTAATTGAAAATGTCCCCTGGCTGTATGTGATCGATGATAACTCCTGATAATAGATTTAGTAAATTCCTTCCTTTGCTCCATTTTCAATTTGGTACTATGGCCCCTTGTTTGGCAGTTTTTACACTTTGTTATCCAGGTTTTATTCCTGTTTCTGTGCTCTCTTTTTGGTGATGGTTTCTTCAGAAATTATGATGTTTGCCCATGTAAATACAGGGTTTGCAGGTGATTGTCTTAGGCCACCTTGAAAGTATGGCCATGAAAATAACTCTTGTGGCAAGCCAACAAAAAGAAATTGCATTAAAGCTGCTTCCCTGTCCCTAACTAGTCCAGTTACGCTTGGGCATTACAAGAGATTGCAGGTCAGTGTGTAATATTATGTACCGTATGTGCTGCAGTTTGACCCTCTAAATAAAAATGAGTTGTATTTATGTTCCTTATTCACTTGTTTTTTTTCAAAGATTACCTTAACATCTACGTGGAAAGAAGTAAAAAAAATAATTAAGGAAGATCCTCGATGCATTAAGTTCTCCTCTAGTGACAGGGTAAGAGAATTTTGTATCTGAGATTTACGGTTAGTTTGTAAATATTGGTTGCTTAATTAGCAGCACTCGTATCTTGACTAAGATGAAGTTGATGGTTTTAAATAGATTACTTAAGTGTATGAGAAATGAAGGTGAATTTTAAGTTCATACTTTTAAGGTCATACTGTAATATGAATTTTAAGTTAATATGGCAGTATGTTAATAAGAAGCCATAACCTAAAGTGTAAAATTTTAACTTGTGCATTTAAGCTTGTAATTTGGGAGTCTAGAGATTGAATCTGTGCTTTATTTTATTTTCTTGTAAGGTCTCATTAAGTAGACATATTGAGACTGGCAGTTGATCCCAAGCTAGCAAAGCACCTGACCTTTAAGCCACACGAGTGAACCGCCACTACATGAACCTGACCTGTTCAGAGACTTTATAGTTAGAGGAAACTCAGGTGCAGGAAGTTTTTAGCCCTGTCCTCATGTACTCTGATTCCTTTGTAGCAAATAAATGTACCTAGGATCTCAGATAGTGTATGATGTTAGGAAAAGTATTGTTTACTGCAGTCCATTTAATCCCTTGGCTTTTTATGTGGTTTTTCTTCCCATTGTTCCCCTTATTCTTTCCCCTCAAACTCACATAAGCTAGATTTTGTGTGGACCGACCACAGAATACACATGGTTGGGAAAGAGTGGTAGACCCATAGCTTGCAGACCTCTTAGTTTTTAACTTTTCTGATGATTTAAAATGGATAGTAAAGTTTTTTTTTTTTTTTTTTAGACCTGAGAGTATATCTCTCTTTATTGTTTCCTACTAGAACGCTACATGCTCAGTCTAAGTTCTGAGTGTTATCTTATACTTGTGTATATTCATAGTGTATGTCATTATTGTTTTTATGCTTGAAGATTTAAATATAGTCTGCAGGAGATGAACACTCAATTCTTAGTTCCTTATTTTAAGAGTGTCTAGTGCCTACCGCATGAGGTTCATGAAGATTGAAGTAGATGACCACTGTAAAATGCTAAGCAGTACAGTGCATAGGAAGCCCTGGAGTTTCAGCTATACACAGTTCCTCTTTTGTGGGTTTTTTTCATTTGCCTTAAACATGTTTTATAAGTTGTGTACTTTAATAAATTTTATAGGAACAAGATATAGCCTATTACCTTTTTTTTTTTGAATTTTAATTTTATTACGTGACAACAAACTGCTGGTTTAATGAATAATTAATGTTTATTTTGGAATTAATGGGTTCTTTTTCACTAATGTTTGCTGTTCTGTTTTTGTTTTTGTTTTTGCAGAAAAAGCAAAGAGAGTTTGAAGAATATATCAGAGACAAATACATCACAGCCAAAGCTGACTTCAGGACGCTTTTGAAAGAGACCAAATTTATAACATACAGGTGTGTGCAGTGGAAATGTTTCATATCAACAGTTATTGTCTTTACTAGACTTTACTCTTAACAGCCAGAGCATACTTTCATTCACACACATGTTGACATTATTAATTTTTAGGACTAAGAAGATGCCAACTTTTATCTAAGGCCAGATACAGCCCATATGTACTATACCTTTTTTCTTTTCTTTTTTTTCTTTTTAAAGAAAGGGCCCAGATGTCAATTCTTATTTTGTGTTACCCACCCATCCAGTTTTTAAAACATACTTTTGTTTTTACTTCACTGCTTTTTAAGAGTACTCTCGATTATAGAAGAAGTGTATTCCACGAAGAGGCTTTTAGAAAAATCCTTCACTGTCAATTATCTTTGCTTCCTCTGAGGACTATTCAGTGTGGCTAGACTATTTAATACCTGAAATTATCTACCTAAGCTCAGCAGAAACATTTTTTTCCCAGAGAAAAGCAGTTTGCTGGATACATTTAAATAATTTTTTAATTATAAAATCAGGACCTTTAAAATAAGATTTCTGTGTGACATACCCACTAGTTTCTCACTCCCAGTTATTTCTCGTCAGGAAAATAATTTTGAATTGCTTTCCAGTCAATACGCAGGAAACCATTTTTGTTTAATGCTCAGAATCTTTCTTTAAAAGAAAAATTTGAAACATCTTAAGGGTATGTGCACGGGAGGATAGATAGTGCTGAGGGTGTGGTTTTTAGGTATTTTGTCACTTGGATTTTTTGGTCAGGATCCTTAATGTTTTGCATCAGCTTGGGCTTTTAAATTAGATGTGAAGTAAGACTTCTTTCTACATTTTTATAGTTAATTTAGTGAAAGATGTGAAAGTGAAAGCTTGTGAGAGATGCTGGGATTGGCAGCCCTGCAGACTGAAGTCCTCTGTTCATCCACAGAACAGGTACAGCACGGGCAAGATTTACCCACCCACCCTCAGCCCTGATCTGGAGGGACCACCAGTAGGGGTGGGAGGGTAATTCAGCTTCTGAGGCCCTTTCACTCCTTGGAGTCTTTGCTGAGGTGACTTACAAAGGTGACTACTGCAGTGAAATTTTTCTTAAAAAAAAAATGGCAACACAATTAGGAACTAGATGGACATTTCCAGCTCATTTTTGAAAGACCGGTGAACAGCAGTCAGTAATTCTTGGATTTCTTTTCTTATTTCAGATCCAAAAAGCTAATCCAGGAATCTGATCAACACCTGAAAGATGTAGAAAAAATTTTGCAGAATGACAAACGGTATCTAGTACTGGACTGTGTGCCGGAGGAGAGGCGCAAACTGATCGTGGCGTACGTTGATGACCTGGATCGCCGGGGTCCACCCCCACCTCCCACAGCATCAGAGCCCACCAGACGATCAACAAAATAATTCTAAATACTGTTCCCCAGGAGTATCTATTCAACATGCTTGCATGAGCCAATTTTCAGGTTTTTACATATATGTGCATTAGTCAACCTATTGCCGAACCACCTGACAAACAGAAGGAGAAGCAGTTTCTGAACAGAACACTTTGGAAATATTTATGCTTTTCTTTGTGTGGCATGACAGACATACATACTCAAATATAGGCTGTCTCTAGTAAATCTAAAATATTGAAGCTAAAAATCATCCTTTTATGAGGTGTGGAAATCAGTGATTTGGTGACGTTCTTTCTAGCAGTGTTATACATGCAAGACATAGAGCATTTGTGGTTTGAACTGAAAGATGCAGATACAGACTCCAAGAAAACCTAAGTTGGGGGGTGTTTTGTTTTGATTTTGTTTCTTAAAGCGGGTAAAAAAGAAAACACTGAAAATTGAAATCTTCCAGGGGCTAAGATTATTATAATGGACACACTTTTACTTTCGTCTCTAAGGAACAGTTTAGTTCTATTTGTTCACTTCTGTGCTCTGATTATCCCTCTGATCAATAGGCTGAGCCTTGCTGTTAGCCTGAGAGAAGACTTACCTAGTAATTTCTTCTCAGGTGTGGAACCATGTGCAGACTAACATGTTGGCCAGAATAGGACTGCTGGTTAAACATTTTATTCTCAATTAAATGGCCTTTATCAATATTCTGAATTAGACAACAAAATTCCCGTTCTGGGTGTTCTCTGTAAACTATACTCCTGTTTGAATGTTAAACTTTTGTTTCTAAAGTTTAATTTTAAGATGTTTGAATGTTCAGTTTATGTATTTGAACTACAATAAACCAACCATTTTTATATATGTGGATGGTATATGGTTACTGTTACATGATGTATAAAAACTTGTTTTTAAAAGGAGCAGCAAATTGAATTTGGCACAAAGTTAACTGTAAATCTTAAGTATTAGTTTTTAAAGCCTTGAATATAATACAGTATGTTTAGTATCAAAGAAGGAATTTGTAGAGAACCAGTTTTCTTGGTGCTCAAGTCTCTTAGTAATACCTATTGCTTGAAAGCAAGAAGATGCAAATTTTTTTTTAGCGATCTTGTTTTTATCACTTATATTGACATATTGATGGTGTGTTCCTTTCTTATATCCTTTCAGCATATCATGGGCAACACACCAGGAAATTTACCTTTGACTCCCAATTGCTTTTTTTTTGGGGTGGTGGGGTAGTGGGTCCTGGGCATTGAACCCAGGGCCTTCACACTCATACCCTCAGCTCCTTTTTATTTTGAGCTCACTAAGTTGACCAGGCTGGGCTCACAATATTCCTGTTTCATCTCTCATAGATTTCCAGCTTTAGGGTGCCACATAAATGTGTAAGCAATACATGTATGTTAATAGGATTATTTTCCCTGTTACCTCATACCTACTATAGTTGCATAAAAACCTAGAAAAGAGGAAGTATCAGCAGGTCTGTATTTGCATTTTTTGTGTTATAGTCACAGACAAAAATTGACATCCAACCTAGGCGTGGTGGCGCACGCTTGTAATCCCAGCACTGGGGAGGCTCAGGCAGGAGGATCCTTGCAAGTTCAAGATCAGCCTGGGCTGCAAAGTGAGCTCAAGACCAGCCTAAACTGTATAGAGAGACCCTGTCTCAAAAAGACCAAAAAGAAAAGAAAAAGTTGACATCCATCGTATTTAGTAGGTAGCTTAAATGTATCAGGTGCCATAGAAATTACATGGACTCATATAGAGACCAGCGTTGACAGATCAGACTAAGGTGTTAACCTATGAAATTGTTAAACAGGAATTATATTTTTCCTTTTTTTTTTTTTTTCTCTTTTTGAAATTTATTTTTGTAAAATCAGAGTGATTTTTAAGTTTTATAAGGAAACTGAAGTGCTTGTGAAAAGGAACATAACCATTAAGGAAGTGTGAGTGCCCTGCAAAGGTGACATTTCTAGAATGCTTTTTTGCTATTCTGAATTTCCCCTGGCATTGTTCTCCCACTCACCACATTCGTTTCTCACAGCAGTGCTTGGAGGGGTCTGTTGCTCTACCGCTGAGCTATCCCTCCCGGAGTTATCTATTTATAAATCCGACTTTCGTCTTGAAATATATGAGTTTGATATCTAAGGTGCAAATTAAGCTTTCCATGCAGAATTTTTTTTTAAGGAATCAAGTCAGGACACTGTCAGGTTCTTAGTGAAAAACTCATCATTACTGTGTTTCACTATCTGCATCTTGACTTGGTACTTGTGTCTGTAGCCTCTTTGCAACTCAGTGTAGCCTGAAACCTGTGCCTTTGTTAAGGCCCTGCTGCACCGTTAAACCTCTTTGTCCCAGTGATGATTCTGAAGTGGTAGTTCAGACACAGACAGCACTAAGCCTTCAAAAACTATCTGAAGTAAAACACAATTGTTTTTATTTTGTTTACAAGTTAAAATGTCAAACAGTGGAAGCTTCTACCTTATATTTAGTCTATCTAGTAAACATGAAAAACTTTTAATTCAAATGGTTCATCACAATTGCAATAACTCATGTATAAGTATGGTATCACAAAACAATATTTTGGATTATTGGGTTAAGTTATTATTTAGTTGAACATGCAAGTTTCAAATAAGATTTGTAAGGAATTGAGTAAAAAACAGCTCTACCTTCTGTATTGAAAAATGAACTAATTTCTTGTAAGAAAACAAAATGGGTAAGTCCACAGTCAGAACATTAAAATAATAGTTCTTTGCACAGAATATTCTTTTTGCTTTTTCTTTTTTAATGCTGCACACTATATCTGCAGTCCATTTTATTTTGTTAAGTTGCCCAGGCTGGCCTCAGACTTAGGATCATCCTGTCTTATCCTCTCAGTGACTGTAATTACAGCCAGGAACCGCCTTGCCTGACTGCATTATAAATTTTTCATATTTCCAAGTTCTCCACTGCTTGCTTAAGAGGGTTTTTTCCCCCCTTTAAGGACTCTGTCAGTGAAAATACACCAGAATTCCATAAGAAAGTAGTCAAGATCATGGATAAATGTCCTTTTTAAAAGGGGGAGGTGTGTAAATGTATGACAATTATTATGCTTTATTAGCTGTACTTTACTTTGCCATAAAATGAACAGTTAACTTAGAAGCCTTATAGTATTTTGTCAGGTGAACGGAGTTTAAGTTCATTGCTGTGGGTAAACTTAGTATCTTTTAACGAGAAAGACAAGTGAAGAGCATGCATATGTTATTAACCATACTTTATCTTGGGAGGAAGAAGATACTGGGAGGAAAAAAGTTCTGCTTGTTGGAGGGTAACTGTTTCCTGTGGTTTGGAAAAGGAAAGCCAATTTTTAAATTCTTTTTTCCGTATCAGTAGAGAGTGTCATTGCAGGCTGCTAAAATTCTGATTTTGAAACTGAAGACTTATTTAGATGGCTTTAAAAGATGATTAAGACAGCCTTTATGGCATAAGGCAAAGTCTGAATTTACTTAGACTTGGCCAAAAATAACCATAGTTTGAAATTAGTCCAAAAATTAGAGCAAGGTGGTGCTTCATAGTCTGTAAGCTTTGGTCAGGAAAATTACATGGGTTTTCATTAACATTTACTAAGCGAAAGAAGATAACATTAAATTTATTCAGTATGTTAAAGATTTTAAATTTTATTTTTTTGTACTGGGAATCGAGTATTAAGGTTCTTACATTTTGAGCTTGGTTATATGAAAACTCAACCGATAAAGTTAGGGACAGCAAGTTTCGAAAGAACCTCAAGGTAGATGGGCTTAGCTTTGGACAAAAGTAAGTTCCTCTCAGCTAGCACAATACAACATAGGACTGGCCCTAAGCGTACCCAGTGAAAATCATGGACCAGTGACAAAACAGCTGGGCTCTACTTTGGCAGCATCTTTACATGACATTTAAGGTTGATTTTTTTTGGACAGCCAGGTTATAATTCTCGAGCATAATTATTACATCGTATTCTACGTACCTATGTGTACATTTTAAAAATGCAGAATGTGAAGCATTTTATAATTCTTAATGGTAATAATTTTATATGGCAAAGTCAACAGCATTACTAAGCAGTATAAGTAAATACAGCAATCACTATTTTCTTCGAATTTTAATTCTATTTACCGCACCCCTGCATCTCTTGATCTTCATGTTCCCAGGGAATAGGGTCATTGTCTTGTGCACAAGGGACAGTGTCCCTCTCGTGCCAGAACTGCTCTACGTCAGGGAGGATGGGGATCTCTGCCTTCTCAGCCTTCTCTTTGCTGGCGCTGGGAGAGCTGGGTTTTTCTTTCCCTGGGATGGATGTCGGGGACTCTAGGGATGGGACCTTGTCGGGAAGGACCTCAGTGTTAGCAGCTGGTGTTTCCTGAGACTCCAAGGCAGTTGGGCTCTTGGTTACCATCCATTTCCACAAGGCTTTCAAGCCTTCCTTGAACTCTTCGGACATCACTAGAAAGATGAGAGGATTTGCTGAAGAGTTGGCAAACATTAGGACTTGAGACAGGGCTGTGAAACCCTGCGGTGGGCTTGGGCCTCCAGCCTTCAGGTGCCATGTCCACAGCCAGGCTATCCACTCAGGGAGCCACAGAAGAGCCGAGGTGACGGCAGTGCTCAGCAGCATCACTGTGAGTTGCTTAGAACGCATCTGATTCCTAAGGTTTTGAGTCTTTGTCCCTCGTTTTTTACATTGGCTGTAAGCTCTCCAGAAGTAAAAGCCGGCCACAAGTAATGGAAGGCAAAATACCAAGAGAGGGTAGAGCTTACCAAACATGGACATGAACTCTCTGGCCCTAGCTGGTACATCCATGAGGCACATTTCCACACCTGCGTGATTCCTGGTGGTGCTGAAAATCCATTCGGGCAGAGGCAGCAGGCTGGCCACTGCCCAGATGGCCAGCAGCGCTGACCAGGGGTTGCGGTTGTGTATACTTACTTGTTTGGCTGGATCACTTGCGTACATGAAGCATGCTTTGGCCACTGCAACAGTTGTCAGGCTCTTGGCTGCCAAGCACGTGTGGATGAACCAGTCAGAGGACTTGCAGACAAACCAGCCTAGATCCCAAACACCCTTAGAGTATGCTGTAGCTCGTACAGGTGCAGAAAACAGCAGGAGGAAGAGATCGGCCAGGCTGAGATTGAGAATCAGGGAGTAGATCATAGATGGTTTTCCTTTCCAAGCACCGTGAAGGAGGATGCCAATCACACACAAGTTCCCCACGAAGCCCACCAGGCAGACAGCCACCAACAGAGCCGGGATGACTGTCCTCCACTCCTTGGAGTCAGATGGCAGATACCCTCCAGCAAAATGGAGGTGAGCAAAGGAAGCATTCATGGCGCTGGAGTGGGAGTTGGCCAAGGCAGCTGTCCTGGCTCCTTACAGAAGATAGCTTCTTATTTATGGCTGTCTTTCTCCTTTGGCTCTTTTTTGCATAGGGGTAAGAAACCCGATGTCATCAGTGTCAGATACACTTCTGGATCCTCCTCCTCACTTGTCTGCTGAGAGCAGAAGGTGGAAGGCTGTCTGCTAAGCTCTTCCCTGCTGCGTGCATATACCTGTGAGTGCATTGAACCGGAAGCAGGAATGCAGCGTTGCTGCTCATTAGCAAGTCTGATTCTAAATACCACCCGGTAGAGTAATAAAAACACTCATAAATGATAGATGAGGAGTACATGCATGCAAGTGGGACATGTTCCTGGAGGGTGGCAGGGGGTGTCACTACAGCCAGTCAAGGCAATTATTTTTCAAAGAGCTGTTTCTAAAATCTTCCCGGTAGTCTATAATTCAGCAAGTTTATACCACGTCTGAACCAAGTGCTTTATATTTAAGCATCAAAATCCCCTGGATAACTTCCATCTGGTAAATTTGGACAAGGGCCCCAAATTTGCAGTTCTGACAAGTTCCCAAGGGGTGCAGATGCTGGTGGTGAGGAGTCCACACTTTAAGAACTACTGTGTTTAACCCAGAACCAAGTGCCCTCTGCCTGCCCCCTTGGCAGAGATAAGATGCTTTTACCCACCCTCTCCACCACCTCAGTCCCCTGACCAACTGCTGATAGCAGGCCCAGCCGGATGATGAAAAAACAGTTGGAAGAAGCCCTATTAAGTCTAAGCATGGGTGACTCTTAAGTTTTAGTCCATTCTGAGTTTTTTAGAGGTAATTTTGGAGCTCTGGATTGGAACTGGTTTAATGAGACTTCCATGAGTGATGGCAATGAAGGCAACCAAATAATGAATTCAGAGGCTTTTCAGTGAATTCCTAAAGGACTGACCAAGACTGACATAAAAGGGAAGTCACCAATTTCTATGCTGAAGGCATTTATGAGCATTTAAGGGAATGACATCGTAAAGTTTGGAAATGAAGATAATCCTCAGATAAAATTCTAGAACCCACCTAAAGCTGAGAAATGTTCAAGGCACTGGGTACTCCGGATCAGATTAGAGAAGCCAGAGAAATGGGTTTGTGGAGTTGAAGTGAAGATACATGCTCCCTGAGTGCGGCTGAATCAGAAATGGTTTGTGTGGAGGGTAAGCACAGCTGAACGGCAGCCCGCTGGATTCTGGCACTAATTCTCCTTGCACCAGTTTTTCTGGGGAAAGGAAAAGGGTGAGATTGTAAAATTCACAGCCTGAGAACTCAGTAAGTGCTGACCATGTGGCTCCTGGGGACACTCAGCAGCCTTGGTGAGTTTCAGATTCTTTCCCTTTCTCTCTAGGAGGTAGAAGATGGGTCGCCAGGGCTAAGGGTGGGCAAAGGCTGCTGATAGGCGTAAAGAACTTTGGGGGAGATAGAAATGTTTTAAAATGGGATTTCCGGGTATCTGTACAACTCTGTAATTTCACTAAAACCTTAAACTGTACACTCACTACATCTGTGGTGCATAAGTAATACCTCAATATATGTTTTTCAAAGAAAAAGTTATTTGGGGTAGAAAAAAGGTTAAAAAGCAGATTGTTCTGCTCTTAAGATGCTGAGTACCCTCTGGCAGAGGGGACACTGTATTCTGAAACTGTTGGGAAAATTTTTTAGGAAGGTTTGTAGAGAAGGTGACTGGCGTAGAAGGACCAAAGCAAAGAACAGTGCTGGGTGGGAAGAGATCTGGGCAGAGCAGAGAAAGGAGAGCCAGAGTGCGGGGAGTTTGCAGCCTCTGAGGCCGGGGTTCACGGGCTTTGTTCATTTCCACACACACGTGACAGCCTTAGTGACGGGCAGCTGCTACTCGAAACGCCACAGCTGGGTCCTGCATTGCTTCTCTTGACAGGGACACCGCCCGCCATGATGCTTCCAGGAGGTAACCCTTGGAAAGTGACAAGCAGGAATAAAGCACAATTTGAGCTGGAAACATTTAAAAATCTTTTATAGTCAAAGTGGAATTGATATTTAAGTTGCGAGGGGCCCCAGCCAGCTTAATTTTCAGAAGAACCCAGACAAAGCAAATTAGTGGCCACCCTTATACCTGGGTTCTGGGTAAGCCCAGCTCAGTGGCCACCTCTTACTGACAGTGGGTAAAGTTTGCCTTCTAGTTCAGACTCCAGGGTACTGCTAATAATTGTGTTACGACGTTTAGTGTGTCCTAACTGCCAGCGTCTGAGCCACAAATTCCAGACCCTTGAATCCTCATGACTATGGGAGAGGGAGATGAATACCATCCCCTCCTTACAGATAACACTGAGAAGTAGAGAAATATAATAACCTCTCTGTGGGTCAGTAGATTGTACACAGTAGATAACAGGGTTTGGATGGCAGCCCCCGTGGGTCTGACTTCAGATTTGGGGCTCCAGAGCTGTTTATAAATTATGCTATCTTGCCCCAACAAAGAAGTTGAGGGATATTGCTCTTGAAGCAACGAAGTTCTCAAATTAACATAATTCCGTTCACAGGGCATTTATTGAGCATTTTGGCACAGGGAAAATAAAACATGCCATTTTGGTGACTATTTCCTGAACCCTGCTTTGGGCCAGGCATGATGCTAAACTCATGTGGAGGCTTTTGCTTGAGGTTCTACGATCTAGTGGGAGAGACAAACAAATCTCAGTGACAATGTCCTTGAAGAGTCCTGGCTGCTGTGGATGCCTGGAGCAGGGGCACCTGATCCACACCAGAAGCTGAGGGGTTGAAGGAGGCTCCAGCAAAAGGTGTTGGAATAATCACTCCTGGAACTGTGACCTTAGCCACGCACCTGCCCGCTCATTTCTGCAGAACCTTTTCGGAGCTCATAGTTACTGTGCTGTCACTACTTGAGTGTTTGACACACCCGGAAACAGCTGCTGCTGCTGCTTGGAGAAGTTAACCCTGGTTGCTTCCACCTGTGACAGCTACCCTCCCTCCTCTTCCTCCAGGTGTCCGGGCTTTGGGCATGAAAGCTGTGTGGCCACACTATCTTTCGAATTTGGGTAAAGCTGTGCGTGGAAGAGGGGCCTCAGGCCAGGCCTGGCTGGCCAGTGGCAGTTTGCTGGCAGGGTGGCGAGCTCTGAGCCATGCTCAGCTCTCACGACACCTTCCCTGCCACCAATAGAAAGGCTGTCCTGGATGGCCTTTGCGGACGAGCATACATTGCTGGGATTTTCTTCCTCTAGACCCCGGCTTGTGCTCTTTTTCAACTACAGTTACCGTGCTTTGGAGTGGTAGCTTTTGCTGTGGGCCTTCCTGACTGAGAGGCCTATTAGGTACTTAGTGTCTGGTGTCCCAGTGTCATTCTTTCAGGGCCACAGAACAAGAATCCTTCTCTAAGGTAAGTTGAGAAGCTGGGCTGGGCCTGGGTGGCCGCTCCTACAAGAGACCTCTCCTGCTTTTGCTGTAGCTCTTGCATCCCACTGTGGGGAAAGACGGTGGGAGAAGATTGGTGGAACTGTTAGTTACAAAACCAAGTCTGGAAGATTATTTCACATGTAATCTAAGGAGGCATTTCTTACATATTTGCTTACATTTCCAGATTTGTGGCCACTCTATCTTTCGAATTTCACAGTGTCTGTGAGATCCAGGGGCTGGGGTTTAGGGGACTGAACCCTGACTCTGAACAGTGAGGCTCGTAGATCAGAAAGGAGCCCTGTGGACTCGGCTCGGGTCTTATTTTGTAGGTGTGGAGACAGGTGCTCTCAGCGGTGAGTGACTGTTCCTGTCGAGGTCGGCCAGGCTTGAGCTAGGAGCCCAGGAATCTCAGCTCCCGGGTGGATGTACTGCTTTCTTCCCCTGTCCTACTTTTTCCTGCCGGCATTTTTGGCCTTCATTAGTAACTGGCTGTTTTGCCTTTATGGAGGGTTAAGATCTGGACATCGACGATGGCTTTTTAGAAAACACAGAGCGAGAGTGTGTTTGCGTGGTGCTGGCTTGCATTAAAAGCCAGCCTTTCTTTTCTTGAAAAAAACATTCATAGTCCTACGAAATGTGACTGCAGGTAATATTTTGGGGTATATTATTTTGCTCTTCTTTTTTTAAGAGTTTATGTTTATGTGACTATAATACAAATTACCATTGCAGACTATTTTTGTTATAATGTAATCAGGGGCCTTAGTCAACTGAAAATACTGTAGAGAAGTGTGTTAGAAATTGATTTATCCTCAGTGAACAAGACAAGGGTGGCTACTTTGTAGGGACAGCATCGTAGGACAGCGTTTTCAGCAAGTAAAGCATTAAAATATCTCTAGAGGCCCAGAATAGTCCTGCTGTAGACATAAAAAACCCATTCCTGGCTATATATGTCCTATTTTTGCAGAGTATTATTTGTTGTGGGCCCTTACTGAAAGATATGTTCTGTCATTTGGAGTAAAATCTAGTCATTAAAAATTCATTGCTGGCCAGTCATGGTGGTACACACCTGTAATCCCAGCACTCAGGAGGCTGAGGCAGGAAGACTGCTGTGAGTTCAAGGCCAGCCTGGGCTACAAAGTGAGTTCAAGGACAACCTGAACTGGATAGCAAAATCCTCCCCCCCCCCCGCCGCCCCAAAAAAGGAACAGAGAAATCCATTGCTACAGCCATCCTGTACAATGAACTTTTTCACATATTTTTTTTTGTTTTGTTTTTCTCCGGTACCGGGAACCGAACTCACGACCTTGCGCTTGCCAGGCAGGCGCTTTTGCCGCTGAGCTAAATCCCCAGCCCCTTTTTCACATATTTTTAAAAAAACTATTTCACTGAGCTATAATTCATATGTCATACAATTCATCCCTTAAAATATACCATTCAAGGTTTTAAGGATATTCATTTTTTCCTGTCTTTCCCACCCTGAGGGGTCAGCATGCTTGTGATAGTCTCTGTAGCACCACGAGAGCTGTTTCTGTGAAGATCAAACCTGCAGAGGGCGTGGCATCTTCACAGGCATCTAACATCCAGACACCCATCCGGGGACTAGAAGAGCTGGGGAAGGAAGTGTAGCGCTCAGAGATCCAGCACTGCTTTGACTTTGATGACTTCACCTTCCTTGAGTCCTAGACTTCAGGAAGTTGGTGGTTGGTCGTTA